TCTTAAATAATATCGTGTGACATTTCTGTTTTCGAATGTATTTGATGTCTGTCTGGATGGTGTTAACGGCAATTTTGGAGTCAGGGTGCAGGCATTATAGCCTTATATCACGCACTCGCAGAAATATTATTGGCATCGAGCATTCGAGAAGCGCTGTTTTTGTTTGACGAAAATATTGCCTGTATATTGGAGCATGGCAAAGGTGGCGTAGACTTCTTCTCAATTTGTACACAAAATCTTTGCCAACTTAGCCTGTGAACAGGCTCCTAATTGTGTTATAGGGGAATGATAAAAATGTTTAACAAAACGAGTGGCATACCCTGGTATTCGATAACAAGAGTTTTTCTAAAATGTTTTTCAGGTTCCTTCTGATAAATCCGACAGTAAAAGTAGGTTAGCCAGCGGGTCAGCCCTCGTGATAATGCTAGTAACATATAAGGAACATTAAACTTTACCGAGGTCCTTAAGAGTTCCACTCCTAAATATTTATTTTGTTTACGGTGTTTATATATGGTGCATTTATCCTTTGGGCGGGACCTCCTCCGAATTTTTTCTCTTTAGACTCATTGAAGAACGCCGTCTGATTATTGACTTCATTAGGAGCCCTGGAAGCTTAGGCCCGGTCGTCTACTACACCGGAGGAATTTAAAAACGCAACAATCAGCGGTCGTTTGATATTGTTGTTTAAGCAAATCTCGGCCAGGGGAATCAAGTGGTTCTCCTGATCCTATCGTGTTCGGAAAGGTCCGTTTTAAAATGTTTTCCGTCCACACAAAAACTCAAAGCCGGCGTTTTCAAATTCCTCCGGTTTGAAGAGCGTTTTCGAAAAGCTCCGTTTTCGTGACGGATTACTTTGGACCGTAGGCCTAACCGTAGAAATAAAGCTCTATGCGTTTTTAAATTCCTCCGGCATAGTGTGGACGGAGTCTGGAGCAAACCACGACGTCAATGAGCACCACCAATCAAAAGGTTTAATGAGCAAAACAAAGGCTGTGCAAGTGTGTTCAGTGAACCTTTGTACATTTCATAGCCGTTCTCTGCAAAACAGCAACGCAAAATGACCGCGAACGCGAACGATGAGTCGAACTGCTAATTTTTCGTATTTTCATTTACATATTTAGCCTGAGCGAGGTTTTAGAGCCATAGGCATCCTGGACAAATTCAATTTTACAAGGTGTTGCCCTCGGCGTCGCCGTCGTCATTGTTAAGATCCCTATATTTGCATCTCCAATGCTGGAAGGTCGATACACTTGTTTAACGATTGGGGTCTGTCATCCTAAGTGGCTGCTTTGTGCTTTGCTCATGTTTTATCCCAAGACCAGTCGAACGCAGATGACAGCATCATGTAAAAACCGTAAAAACTCACATAAATTGCAGCTCTTTGCCAAGGTTCTTTTTTAATTCAGCGATTAAGTTGTCAAGCGTTTAGGTAAGAAGTTCTTCCCTCCTGCTGAAAAAGTCTCGTTTACGTTACTTCGCCGATGCAACACCTTTTCATCTTCCCCATTACTACAAGGCAATCGCTTGCATCTTCTTCTTCAGTATAGCCCAAGGCTTTGAACACTTAAAGGCCATGTCATCGATAACGTCCTTGAACATAACGAGTTGTTACTCGGGGCTTTCCCACTCCAAACCAAGTAATTAGTACATTATTTCTCTTTCCATAGCTTTCAGTTCTCGGGGGTTTCGCTACTTAATTGGCCTCAAATCTAAATGATGCGGAGACAATGATATCTGATGGAATTGAAAATTGTGATGCTTTAGGCGGCGAGGCACCGGAAGTTGTTTTCGCTCGTAGGCATTCGTAGACGGTGGAATTTCAACTACCCTGTCGCTGCAACCTGTAATATTAAATGGTAGAGAGAACCTTAAACAAACGTTGTCAATCAAGGCTTAATCTGGCTACTGTAGCTCAAGATACACAAGGTGAACGTGTATTTTAATGTATAACTGTATGTACAGCATAAATTACAAAGCCGTTACAGAACACAAGCGTGCATATAAAGAATGGCAAATTAGCATATTATAACCTTAAAGTAAGGTATATCCGCCATTTTGAATAATCAAATCCAGCCGGTGTCCGAAACTCGTTCGTCCAGTTTGGCTATGACGCCAGTGCTTTCTCATTGGCTCACAGCCCAGCCTTTTGTTCTTTCGCTTTATAAGTGCGACACCACCCGGATGGTTGGGCGGCCAGTTAATCCCACCGCAATATACACATCTCTCTTAATCTCTTAAAGCAATACCTCCTGAATATATAATCAAGTATTCTTGCTCAAACATCTCCCTAAATATCCCCCAATATCCCCTCACAGCCTGCATTTCATTAATCCCCTACATATACCTACACAGCCCACTTCTCATTAATACCCCACATATACCTACACTACCTGCATCTCATTAATCCCCTTCATTTACCTTCACAGCCTACATCTCATCAATCCCCTTCATATACCTGCACAGCCTACATCTCATTAATCCCCCACATATACCTACACAGCCTACACCTCACTAATCCCCCACATATACCTGCACAGTCTACATTTTATTGATCCGCCACATAAACCTACACAACTCATTAATCTCCCGGCATATACCTACACAGCATTACATCTCATTAATCCCCCACGTTTACCTACACAGCATACATCTTATTAGTCCCCCACATATACCTACACAGCAATATATTTCATTAATCCCCCACATGTACCTACACAGTCTGTATTTTATTAATTCCCCACATATACCTACACAGCCTACATCTAATTAATCCCCCACATTTACCAGCACAGCTTACATCTCATTAATGCCCCACATATACCTACACAGCAATACATCTCATTAATCCCCACATATACCTACACAGCTTTCATCGTATTAATTCCCAACATATCCCCACACGGCAATACATCTCATTAATCCCCTACATGTACTACACAGCCTACATCTCATTTATCCCCCACATATACCTACACATCTTTCATAGTATTCATTTCGAATTCCGAACATATGCCTACACAGCAATACATCTCATTAATCTCCCACATATACCTACACAGCTTTCATCCTATTAATTTCCAACATATACCTACACAGCCCACATTTCATGAGTCTCTAACATTTACCTTCACGGTTTGCATTTCATTAAATCGTCTCTAAAGTCATTACTCATTATATTCAGTGGTTATCAACTCATGTAGAACCAAGTGGTGTTAAGATATTTTGGAACAAGAGAACATTTTCTCTTGCTTGGAACAAGTAAATTGACTATCGCTATTCCAGTTATCTGTTCACTTGTGGCCTGGGAACAGGCTCCCAGTTTAGTGCGAACTAGCCAGGTGTGGTCTAGGGCGAGCGTGGAGAGCCGAGAGCGGAATGGTAACGAGGGGGAGCACAATTCGCGAAATTCTTCTATTTCGCGCTTAACGGCTCGCTTTGCTCGCCGGATTTTTTTTACGCCCCCGCCGGATTTTTTCCGCCCTCGCTGGGAGCCTGTTCGCGGGCTAGTTCACTTGCCGTGCGTTCAGCCGTTCCAACGGATACCGTAAGGAACGTTTTCGCGTGAGAGGTCACATATTTGCCGAGGCATTTTTGTGGTTGAAACGGCAAAGTTCTTCTTTTAACGACACTTTTAGGGTCAAGAAAGTAAAATTGTCGATTTGCTTTCTTCTTTTTACGTGTCGCGTGATTTGTGGAAAAAAATTCTCCGTGATGCGTAATTTAATAAAAAAAAATTCAGCGTGATGCGTGATTGGTACCCCACCTTTGCCACCCTCAATATACGGGGCTAGAATATACTCCAGGATATCTTGGCTTTGGCGCAGTGACAAGAAATTAGATCTAAAATCAAACGTATCTTTTTAAAGAAACATCCGGTATTTGATCCTTTTTAACTGGTTTCACGCGCAGACTTATGCGCAGATCAATTGACTGGTGTTTGTTTCCTTTGCACGCAATAAGTCCTGCTTTCTCATTGGCGACGACCCAGCTATGAAGACCGTTGTGTTTCTTCTCAGTTTAGTCTTTCTTGTCCCTGCACTTTCGTATCCATTCAACGGTAAGTTTTATCTCATTTCTCTTATCTGTAGAGACAGTTTGTAATTTGTTTAGTGTAATTTGTGAGGTCACGTTGGCAGACTATTTTCGTACCAATTTGAAAGGCTTAATCTGTTATCTCCGAAAGTTTCCTGAAAGCTGAAAGTAGTTCGCTACACCCTTGAACAGAACTCTATTTCCTATAAGTGTTTCTTTTTTTTTCTTGTCTCTTGATTTGTAATCTTAATTGAACCGTTTTTCTCATGCACGTTTTATCGTGGCGATTTGTAAGTGATGTGTACCGCTTGAAGCACTGATCATGGCGCTGTGTGATTTTTACAGAACAAATCCCTGACCCGACTATCATTATGTTTATGAAGTCCGATTTTAATCGTTGTGAAATGCATTTGCCTTACAAGACAAGATAAGACAAGACATTGTGGCTACCACAAAAATTTCTTTCTCTTGCACTGGCAAAATTCAAACGCGACGTATGTCCGAGATCGCGCCCCCCGTGGGGCTCGAACTAAAATGTCGAAATCCCGGGGGGAGGGGGCGGAGTACTTTGGGAATTTCTGGGTGGGGGTGAGCCGCTGGGACCCTGGAACCCTTAGCCTATACCAGAGCTAGTTCAGCTGAATTTTGCTACCCTATACTAGAGTAAACTCCCAAAATCCCCCCATCTATCGACACTGTTGAGGCTAATTTGCGTAAAGTTAAACTTGCCGATTTGATTTTTTTATATCTTTGAGTGGCAATTGCTGGTTTCCTTAGTCTAGATAAATTCTTCAACCAACTAGTCAGTTTTGTGAAAAATGATACCCTATTCTAGACCCAAACGCTCTGATTTATATACCCTATCCTAGAGTAAACTGCTTTAAAACCGTACCCTTGACAGCGGCACATACTTATATAGCCCATATATGGCAGTACCCCTTCCCCCCCGGGGGTCGAAATGTCTACTGATTAAAACTGTAAAGACCAACGCAGCAGAGTAAATGAACAGCCGAGTTGTGCTTTACTCTATTGAAATATTAAGTGCCGTTAAGAGGCTCCGTTATTTTCCCTCACATTCCTTAATCAGTAATAAGGTCAGACGAGAGGAACTCTTAGTCGAATATTCCACCGAGTGCCTTTGTTCAAGATTGAGGGGTATGACAACTCGGTCAGCAATATAATGTTTAAAAATGGACGGGAAACCGGGATAACACACACTTAAAATTTTCAAGACGTTCTCTGGTTAAAACAGTTTGAAATTACTAGAGCTTTCGATTGTCAGACTGTAATCTTTGGCAAATGTGTGTAAAAAGCGCGAACGCGGAAATATGTACGGTGAAAACGTGTGAAGTAGAAAAAAATAACAACAAGAACAATAAATTACTTGCACGGAAATAAAATGCTAATGTGGAGTTCATAACACAATTAATAATACCTGGGTAATAGGTTCGAGTTACTGATTCGCTTGTGATTGCAGTTTGCCAGTATTCCAATGTTTTCCTCACGCGAAATCAATAGAGTGGTTGTTCAGCATTGTTCAGTAATGCAGAGTGGCAATGTTTGAACCTTTTCCATAACTTTTTGTGTTTCTAATATGTTCGTTCTTTCTGGTTTGAAAATACCTTCCAGTTTCTCTATAGTTCGACGGAGACACCTCATGAGCAACACTTGTTTGTCCGCAACTGTTCTTGGCGTAGGGGAAAAAATTATTGTCGTAGGGTTTTGAGAGGTCTACTCGTGGCTGGAATGTCATTGTTTCTGAGTAACCTTGTAAGTGGCTCCGTTAAACATTTGATACATGACAGGACTGCGAAATCACGGAGTGAGTCGCATCAGACTGTGGCTGTTCAGTGAACCCTTAGCTAAATTATTACAGGGAAAAACGCAAGCGCGACAGCCTGTTGAAAAGAAACGACGAATTCCCGTTATCCGTTCAGCTCGCTCCAAAATTTCGAAGTTCTGTAGTTCCAAGACTCGGTGACCTTTCTCAACACCCAGACCTCTTTCTGCCATATAATCTGGATGTACATTAGAAATGATATTTTTAACAGCAGGTACTGCTGAAAGTTATTTGTTTATTACGTCAAAACTACAGATGCCAGTCTGAAAACTGAAACTTACCACAGGCTTCAACGTAGGTCAAACGGCGTAACAGTAGTGTTCAGTAACCTTTATTGCTAGGGCGTATGCGTAAGAATAACAAAATTCGAATGATTTCTTTTTTATCTATAAACTGATGATTGCTTTTGTTTTCAGATTGCGACAATTGTCGGGACTGTAGAAACAATAAATGTCACAAGTGCAACGAAGGCTACGCACTGACAAAAATTTACGTGCGCCGTTTATGTGTGCGTGCTAGTGAATGCTGGGGAGGAGAAAAAACTGGCGTGGTTTGGGACCCAGTCTTAGGGACGCACATCTGTGACCAGAGAGGAGGTATTGAGATCAACGACATCCACTCATGAGTTGATTATCTTTGAGCTGTAAATAAGTATGGGTGAAGTGGCCGATGTTAACTTGGTTTCTATGTAATGTTTCTCAGTCACCTGGGGTATTGGTAGGTCTATAGGCAGGCCTGCATCAATACAACGCGTAAGTTCACCCTAACTATTAACCTTAGAATGGAGATATGAGAAGAACCAGAAAAATTAAACACAAACACGGCATTGTTAACGCTTCTTAAATTGCAAAAACTACTCCGAGAATGATTTCTTCAGTTTTAATACAACCATTTGCGGTTTATATGTTTTTCATTACTTATGGAAGACAACTGTTCAGATCGACTTGTATCGCAGCGATCACTAGTTAGGTTCAGATGAGAACGAGTCAGTTCACTTCTCGTTATTCTCTTGTACCTATTTTAGTGTGTTTCAGTCTTTTACTGCCTTGCAGGTGAACCTATGTTTGTTCTTATGGTGCTACGTGTCTTGCTAGTAAAATCTATTCCAAAACAGTTTGTTGACAGTGGAATGAATTTCTTTTTCTGTTCGCATTCCTTACAGAATGTGGAGCATCGAGCAAGTGCGTCGAGTGTTTGGTCAGTGGGTCTTGCACCAAATGCAAGCAAAATTTTGCCCTGAGATTGTGGTCCAAAGGCCATATTGGCTACAATGTCTGTGACAAAAACTGCGAAAAATGCGTGGAACCGAAAAGCCAAGCTCAAGTCTGCAAGTCTTCGGCAGGTGATATATAATTAAATGATTTTTTAACTCTTCTTTTGTGTTTGGGTGCTTACATGTATATTCCTTGTTGTTTGTTGCTTATCTGCAGTCCTTTTGCTGGTTTTCGGGGGTATATTGATGTAATGATGTATACAAAAGACATTGTTGTATTTTTAGCCTCAACACCGTTTTAATTATGCTTGCTTTTTTTCTTTTCTGTTTTATTCAGCTCTTTGTGCACCACCAGCCACGCATCCGCCGAACCCAGGTATGTGTACAGCGCATTATAAAATGCAGGATGCTTCTTTCTTTATTTAGTTTCAATATCGAGACCGAGACTTCATTATTGCAACAGTTCAAACGCGAGGTGTGTCTCAGATAGCGACCCTCCGTGGCACTCCTACTGAAATGTCGGAATGTCCACTGATTAAAACTGAAAAGACCGAGGGCAGAAGGGTAAATGAACAGCTGAGTTATACTGACTTTGCTCTATAAAAATATTAGGTACCGTTAAGTGGCTCTGTTATTTTCCCTCACTTTCCTTAATCAGTAATAAGGTCAGACGAGAGCATCTCTCACTCAGATATTCCACTGTGTGCCTTTGTTGAAGATTAAGGGGTATGACCACTCGGTGTACAATATAATGTTTAAAAATGGACAACTAACCAAGATAAGACACAATTAAAATTTACAAAACGTTCTCTGGTTAAAATAGTTTGAAATTACTGGAGCTTTCGATTGTCAGTCTGTAATCTCTAACAAATGTGAGTAAAAAGCGCGAACGCAGAAATATGTACGGTAAAAATTGTGAAGTAGAAAATACTACAACAAAAACAAAAACAAAAACAATAAATTACCTGCGCCCAAATAAAATGCTAATGTGGAGTTCATAACCGAATTAATATTGCCTGGGTAATAGCTTCGAGTTACTGATTCACTTGTGATTGCAGTATACCAATATTCCAATGTTTCCTCGCGCGAAAATTTCCCTTGTTGATTCCGTGGGCGTTGTTAAAGTCAATAGAGTGATTGTTCAACAATGCGTGAGTGGCAATGTTTGAACCTTCTCACGGTTGTTGTGTTTCTAAAATGTCCGTTTCTTCTGGTTTGTGAACACCTTCCAGTTTCTCCCATATAGTTCGACGGAACGTCTGCACAGGAAACCTCATAAATAATATTTGTTTGTAAACCAGCCGGTGTTCTTGGCCTAGGGGAAAAATTCTACTCATCGCTCGAATTCCGTTGTTTGTGAGTAGTAATGCAAGTGGCTCAGTTAAACCATTGATAAGTGGCAGGAGTGCGAAATCACGGTGCGAGTCGCATCAGATTATTGCTGTTTCAGTGAACCCTTGGCTACATTGTTGCAAGGACCGAGAAACACAAGTTCACAAATTGCCTTTATCCGCTCCGCTCGCTCCAAAATTTCTCAGTTGTGTAGCGCATGCAGTTGTATAGTTCCAAGTTTCAACACCCAGACCTCTTTCTGCCATAATCTGGATATATATATAAACATCACGATTGATACTTTTAACAGCAGGTATTACTTTAAAGGATTTGTTTATTACGTCAAAACTACAGATGCCAGTTTGATAAGTGAAACTTTCCACAGGCTCCAGCGTCAGTCACACAGTGTATCAGTAGTTTTCAGTAACCTCTACTGCTAGGGCGTATGCGTAAGAATAACACAATTCAAATGATTTAATTTCTTCTTTATATATAAACTGATGATTGCTTTGCTTTCAGATTGTAACAATTGTCAGGACTGTAGAAACAATAAATGTCACAAGTGCGACGATGGCTACGCACTGACAAAAATTTACGTGCGCCGTTTATGTGTGCGTGTTAGTGAATGCTGGGGAGGAGAAAAAAATGGCGTGGTTTGGGACCCAGTCTTAGGGACGCACATCTGTGATCAGAGAGGAGGTATTGAGATCAACGACATCCACTCTTAAGTTGATTATCTTTGAGCTGCAAATAAGTATGGGTGATGTGGCTAATGTTAACTTAGTTTCTTTGTAATGTTTCTCAGTCACGTGGGATATTGGTAGGTCTATAGGCAGGCCTGCATCGATACAACGTGTTAGTTCACCCTAACTATTAACCTTAGAATGGAGATATGAGAAGAAACAGAAAAAATAAACACAAACATAGCATTTTTAACGTTCCTTAAATTGCAAACACTACTCCGAGAATGATTTCTTCAGCTTACAATCATTCGCAGTTCATATCTTTTTCATTGCTTATGAACTGTTCAGATCGACTTATACCGCGGTGATCACTAGTTAGGGTCAGATGAGAACGAGTCAGTTCACTTCTCATTATTTTCTTGTACCTGGTTTAATGTGTTTTAGTCTTCTGCTGCCGTGCAGGTGAACCTATATTTGTCCTTATACTTTGACTACTAGTAAAATCCAAGCCAAAACAGTTCGTTGACAGTGGAATGAGTTTGTTTTTCTGTTCGAATTCCTTACAGAATGTGAGGCATCGAGCAAGTGCGTGGACTGTTTAATCAGTGGGTCTTGCACCAAATGCAAGGAAAATTTTGCCCTGAGATTGTGGTCCAAAGACCATATTGGCTACAATGTCTGTGATGAAAACTGCGAAACATGCGTGGAGCCGAAAAACCAAGCTCAAATCTGCAAATCTTCGGCAGGTGATAATTAGATGATTTTGTTTTACTCTTTGTTTGTGTTTTGTTGCTTATATTCCTTGTTGTTTATTTGTAGTCCTTTTGCTGGTTGTCGGGGGTTTATTGAAGTAATGATATATACAGAAGACATTGTTGTATTTTTACCTTCAACACCGTTGTAATTATGCTTCCTTTTTTTTTTTATTCAGCTCTTTGTGCATCACCAGTCACACATCCGCCAACCCCAGGTATGTACACAGCGCATTATAATATGCAAGATACTTCTTTCTTTTCTTTAATATCGAGACCGAGACTTCATTATTGCAACAATTTGTAATTGTGCACCTTTTATGTGCATAAATCACAAGTTTTTTCAATCTGTTTGATTCCAAAGCAGTTACCACTGCAGCTGTGGTAACCAACCCAGTCAATGCCGCTGAGGGTTCTATCAAGACAACCCCAGACATGGACCCTTCAACTGTTGGGACAGACGAATAAACCAAGCCAACTGTCGATGAAACTCTGGATGACGATTACTGAAATATAAGTTCAACCTGATTTGCCAAACCTTAGCTACAGACAACTATAAGAATGCTTCGTATTCTAAGAGCTCCCGGTCTCCCGTCCCTTTAGTTCCCGGCTTTCTCCAACCCTGACAACGAGAGTGGCCGTACTCGTGCTGATGCGCCCTGTTTAGGCTCTCAATTCCAGGAAAAGTTGTTTTAAAGAGCTAAAAGTTTCGGATGGCAACTTGGCTAACCGCTTCCAATGAGGGCAGTCAGAATTCAGTTTACAACAGCCTTAAATCTAATAACCACAGGGTAGCGACGAACAGTGCCACACTTTAACCCAACCCTTCCCCTTCCAATCCCCCTTTCAAATCTTCACACAAAAACCAAAAACGTCACAGCAGAGTTTTGCCAAATCAGGACAGATACACGTGGAATGAGAGTGAATGCTCTAAATAAGCTTACCTTATGTATCAATTAAGTTGTCCGTAGTGTTCAGATTCCGGTGTGTACTAGAGCAAGTTTTGTGTTTCACATTTGTTGTAACCCGGAAGCCTGATAAAAATTTTGAGATCAATACACATGTAGTATAGAAACTTTGACTAGAGAATACTGATTTTAGCTATGTTGGAAATGTGGATTAATTCAAGAAAATAAAGGAAGCGTTTGTAAGACCTTTCAGTAGAGAAAGTTGTTTTCGACTATTTAGAAATGTTGTTTTTAAGAAAATAAAGGAAACAAAGGAACTGGTTTATTCTTACTTCTTAGTCGAGTCAGTTTTGTGCAAAAAATGGGCCAATAAAACAAGTCATACAAAAAAAAAATGGGGATCTCCTCGTTGAAAACGTATCACGCGTGTCATTACATGTTTGGCTTGCCCGCCTTCGTCTACAAGTGAGCCAAAAATGGTCCAAAACAACACTTGCTCACCAAACTAAGAAACCTCTTGGGAAAAACTTTATAATGGACCCCTCATTTGAACCAAAGTTTGTTTCCTGATCCTGGATTTCATAATTATATTTCTACTTCTTACTTCTACAGCCAGTATTTTTTTAATTTGGTTCTGTATCCAGAAAACATGCTGTACCCCTTCGATGGTAGCGCTCCCCTCCCCTTGAATGAATGAATGAAATGAATGAAAAATTTTATTTCAAGGAAGTCTAGCCGAGGGTAAAAAAAAAAACCTCTACTATTAGGGGACACTTAAAATAAAAAAAATAAGCTATTAAAATTTAAACACCTAAAATTTGACCATGTACAAAAACTAAAATTTAACTACCTTATATATTTACAATAATTCACGAAACAAGCTTGGTGGTCATGTACTACTTAAGACAGAGTTCTCGCACTCGTGTTTTATCTTGGACGAAAAGTTAGTTAAGCAGATCTGTCTTTTGAAAGATTGCAGGGACGGTAAGTTTTTTTAAGTTAGTTGAGAGTCGATTTTTTTCACTAATGAGAAGTTAGCTTGTTTGCAACTGGGGCCAGGAGTCGATGGCTGTCCAGTTACTCTCATGATCAGCATAGGTCCGATATATCTGAGGGAGTTTTTCCCATCGGTGATAGTATTAAATCTGGGAATGTGGAAATCTGCGCCTCTAAGGTTGTAAGTAGAACTTTTCAATGAGAACAAATTTTTGACGCTTGGGAGGAAGGGGGCGGGGGGCACAGATCATGCCTGACTTTGAACACCATACAAGCTAAGTCCTGTAGCCTTCTTTCAGAAAGAGTTTTTAAGATAGCTTTCTGCAGTAGTTGCTCATATGCAGATTTACTATCTCTGAAGACTGCACGCAAACTCCTCTCCTGGGTGCGTTCGAGTTTTCTCTTGTCACTTGCTCGGCGGAAATGCCAGGTAAGATGGCAATAGGTGAGGTACGGAAGAATCGCAGCCTTAAAAAGGTGTAGTTTCGCAATGGTGGGCACTAAGTTCTTGAGTCTCGTTAATACACCTATCCTCTGGTTCGCTTTCTTGCTCGTGATATTTATGTGCTCACTGAAATTAAGCTTGTTGTCAATAGTGACACCTAATAACTTAATACTGTTCAGAGATTCAATGTCAGTTCCTTATACATTTACGCGAATCTCGTCTCTCCTGTCCCTCTGTTTATTGTTGATTAACATGGTATGGTATTTGGAGAGGCTCCCCTTAAGTAAGTTCGACTCGTACCATAAAGAGGCTATCGTTGCGCTCGCATTTAGGTTGTCATTAATCGTCACAACGTTATCGCTAATTTCGAAAAGCTGCTGGTCATCAGCCTTTGCTTAGATTCTGTTGACTTTTTGAAAAATATTTCACAATAACGGTCCCAACGCTAATCCCTGGGGGCAGCCTTGGTGAACTCATTTCCAAGAACCTTTTTTGAGATGCCAGCTTCACTCTGTTGGAGCCATCGCATAAAGAGGAGCGCAACAAATTGATGAAATTCTCTTCAAAACCGTATGCTAGTTTACTCAGCAACACAGCTGGTGCATGGAGTCGAAGGCCTTTGACATATCCGTTGATAAGATTCCTACTAACTGTTTAGATTCCTACTAACTGTTTTTAAAGCAACGTGGATTTCAGATCACGAGATAATAAGCCGTTACGTTTTCTTGCGTTACACTGTCGTTTCGCTAACTTTCGGCGTGACTTGGCTTGGGCATAGTTAGTGGAGGGGACCCCTCCACTAACTATGGCTTGGGTCACGGGTTAAAACGTAGATTAACATGCATATATTCCTTGACGTGCTTGATTTTGATGTGCTTGTTAACTGGAAGGCTCTAGAGCGAGCCAGCATCACGTTCACATTTGTACAAGGGACAATTTTACCTCCAAGGTAATGCTAATGCTATTACACGAACCAGTGCTACGTAAATAGAAAGGCACATTTGCATTTTCAATTCTCTGCCATGGGAGCTGTGTCAATATTGCCTTCATTAAAAAGTTTGCCTCGGTTCCGAATTTTATGCCATTAATTTTACTTAGCCTTAAGTATTCGGTTTTGTTATGCTTTTTATATCTGAGGTAATGTTAGCGATCTCCTCATGCAGGGATTTTTCCCCAGGTAAATAATCAGAAAAGCTGATTGTGTTCAAACGTTGTACTCACAACTCATGTCGAATATCACGAATGCAGATGTACTTTTGAGGGCAATGCACACAGACAATGCAAATTTCACGAGTGAAGAAACATAACGAGTTTTTCCAGCGTGTTTTATGTTATTTCTTAAAATTCAAATGTACATAGAACGTTACCAGATTTTACAACAGCATTACATGCACGCTCGCCTGAAACTACATCACAACACACAATTAGTATTGCGCATGTACCAGTCACGTTCTTTTAAAACTGTTAAGTTGGTTGACATGTTTTAAAATAAAGTTCAGCTCTCTGATAAATCATGTGCAAAAAATTCATCTTATCCGCGAAGTTTAAAAGACATCTTCAAAACTGATTTCGAGGACAACTACCCTGCACAGCATAGTACTGTGTTGGATGATTTCTCTACGAGAACGGTCAGGCTTTTAATTAAGCGAGGAGTAACTTAAGAATATTGTCAAGCACGGAAGAATTTCACTGTCTTTCAGTTGGAATCAGGTTTGTTCAGTGGAATCAGTACCGATTAACTTATAGGCTTTGATTGCCAAATTGTGGTAGGAAGAATGCCCATCGTGGTCGATCATCTTACACTGTTTGCTGTACATAAGCTTACATACGCTGGCAGCTTCGCCTTGCGTGACATACATAATTATAAGCAATTTGAATTGCTTTAGTTTTTACCTTGCAACTTAAAGAGACTCAACTGGAACACATTAATTAATATGGTTCTAATTATTTTTGCTTGCCTTTAGACACTGAGCTATGCTTTCATAAAATGCTATGTTTGTCTGGGACTGTGGTGATTTGAAGGGTTGACATACTCCTTAATGACTTTTTAGAATGAACGGAATCGTGATGAGTTGCATGTAAAGTAACCAAAAGTCACGGTCATAACCACGTGAAGAGGTTATGAGCTGCTTAAAGTGGTTAGGTCACGTTAATTTTCACAATATTTGTCACGTAAGTGGCCTTTACAACCGTCATGTGCGTTTGCAGTAAATGGTTATTGCAATAATTTGGGAAAAACATGAGATTTAATAAAATAGCAATTACAAAACACTGTATGGCAGCGCGAGTTGAAAGTCGTTCCTATATTAGACAGTTGAACTACCACGTTCTGGGACCATCTTTTTTTTTTTCAATTTTGTGTGCCGAGAAATCTGCAAGAAGTGACCACCTATATCATATGTGTAAAGAAGACTTAAGCGGTATTGAGGCCTGGCGTAATTAATTGGATTGTTTCTCTTATTATAGTGAAATTTGCAAATAACTTAATTGCAATGTATACATTTTATCAAAAGGGTCTTAAAGTATTCCCTCTTTCATTCGTCGCCATTCTCTTCACTGCGTTTTAGAGGAAAAAACCAGTTAGAAGTAAAAATTTGAAAAATATTTGGTGAAACTGAAATGTCAAATAGTTAAGTAGATGACGTTTTGGGCTTAGCCCTCTTCAGGTCGATATATAACCGTTATATCAAGGTGTGATTTGTATTGTCAAGAAAGCAGCGCTCTTATCGAGATGTACCAGAGCACGCGCAGTACCGTAGGACGTGAAAGGCATTACTGATTCCGTGCAGTTACATGGCACCCAACCAAAAGATGCTTCTTGTACTTGTTGCTTCCTTCCTTACTAAAGTTCTAAAGTTCTTATGAATACGTCGTTTTCCTTTCAGGTAAAGCTGATGAAAGGAAATTTTGTCCCACCTCGCAGTTCAGCAATTGGAGACGAATGTTGTGATACGTCGGAACATTTCTCTAGATGGCTATTGAAGGTCCCTGAAACTCAGTGATGACTGCTTCAGACATTGAGGTAGAATGTGAGAGTCTCGCCGGCAATGGACAAGACGGTGATACAACGTGCAGCGAAAGTGACAGTGAAAGGCCAAAAAAGAGAGGTAGTAGCAGAGCAGCGCTTTTAACATTGCTAATTTTCTTTTCTTGGTGATGCATTATTACCAATCCGGCAAAGTTGGTATTTCGGTTCAAAAGGTCCAATTACTTAATAAGACCTCTTCAACAACATGTACCTTACTTTTTTTCTTCTTTTAACACTATGTTTGTTCCTAAATGTGTACGCGAGGCTTGAGATAGGAATTATCCTCCAAACCATGGTAGAAATAACTTCTGAAAACCTTATGTATCAAATATATCAGTATTCATTTATAACCTCTTACATTTGACTGATGTCTACCCAGCTTTCGAGGAGTCGCTGATAAAGACCATAAGGAAAGGCAACTTCCTTGAAATCAGTGAGAAAATCACACCAAAGGCATTTACAAAATGCGAGAAGAACGCTATGCAGATGTCAATGCTGGTGAGTCCATCATATTCTCACAACTCCTCTTTGATCCAGAACTGAAAACCAGTGCATTATCTCATACCAAAATCAAGACATCATTGGTAAGACTTTTGTATAACTTTTTGAGCGCTCGATGTAAGTTACGAGAGGAAACAAGAATCTAGTTTTATTTGCTGGATTACGTCTTCTGACTTGCACAATAATCTTTCGGATTGACTAGCAAATGCATACCCTCTTTGAAGTAGGCATGTTTGGTTATATCGGACGACTGACTTTGGTGGATTCAACATCTTTACAGGACACTAACCCAGACACTTTCATGCGACTCCCGCAAATGAATAGGACTTACTAATAAAATGTTCACCCTTCGAGAATCAACGCCTAAACAGGAAAAAGACATTAGACAACGCAAACATGACCACCAATGCAAGCAGTTGTTCTAGGGTAAAGAATTATTAACGCGCGAAAGCAAATAACTTGGAGGAAAAAACTATATGTGCGGCTTGCGGGTATTTGAATCACAAGACTCACTCGATGACTATCCAAACAACCAATAAACTACGAAGCTCAAGCCTAAACAATTCTGAAAGCTCCTATCAAAGCTCATACAATTAGGCTAGTATAGTTACTGGGATGATTTTAGTTCAATCATGCTGCATGTAATCTGCGGTAACTTTACGCTTCATTTCAACTCCACAAAACTATCTCAAGTTAATCCCAACCGTGTCTGTGCCTTTTTGTTTTATTACCTACTGAATTTGAAAAGCAGTGATGGTGAAAGTGTTAGTGAATAAAGATTTCATCTTGCTGATTGTCAGGCAGGCGATAATTGTGATTCGAAAGTGTTGTAAATAAATGAATCAATCAATAAGTAAATAAATAAATAAATAAATAAAAGTGTTACCTTAACCCCAACGCATGAGCTTTCATCGAAACTAATCGAAAAAAGACAGTATGTTCTGTCAGTTATTTAAGAGTAACACAAAGGTTAACTTTATTTTTAGAAGCTCGACGGTAATAATAGCACTTCAGTTGGGTAAGTAAGTGTTTCTCTACAAAAATTAAAGATTTTTCATTTGTTATTGTTTTTAACACCAAGGTGAGTTACGAACTTCGCTCTTTGGCGGACAGGAGGTTACCAAACTTTGAAGATGAGGAAAAATTAGCGTCCTCTGTGGAGGAATTCACTAACTGTCTGATGAACCCCTTAAAATCTGACATAAAGTGCCGTTTACAGTTCAAGCAGTGCTTTGATGAAGTCATGGAAACTGCTATTGAGCTTGGGCAAAAGAAGGTCGGTGATTACAAATCGTCTTTTTGTTGCCTTAGAAAGTGAGCTATGCGTGGAACCTATTGAATCGTTATAACAATCCAAAAGTAGTCTGCTGGGGCAATACGCTTGACTCTTAATGTCCCTCTTCACCCGTTGGACACGTATGGGTAAGTGTGCCCAAGGGGAACCCATGCTTGAAAGACTGGAGGGGAATTGAATTGACTTGCGACTGGCATCTTATGACAATAGTTTTGTAGGAGACTAACGACTGACCAACGAGAGGTATCGAGACTCTGAGACTTAATCTTTATTCTTCGGGACTTCTACGTCTTCCACTATGCTTACTTCCTCTGCTTAATACAACTTTCCAATGAACTCACTTTTATGCTAACTCTAGTTACGCCCGGGACTCAAGCCAAAGGTAAATCAGGTGGCACAAAACAAAGTACTCAGATGTAAATCCTAAACGAACGCAGCTGACTTGATAATTCAAGCCGAGATTAACCAACTAGAAAAAATATAATAATCTTTAGCGACAGCTAACCGTGGATCTATCTAGGGGAAGTATAAGCTAAGGTCGCAAGAACGACACAGACGTGTACACACGTGAGCGTCCGAAGAAAGATTCTAGAAAGAAACGTTTCCAAGGAAAACGAAAGAGGCGTTCATTCAAGAATTGAGAGTTCCACTCCTGTTAATTAACCTTGGCTTGCCAAAACTAAGCTTTCTTTAAAATATAATTTCTTAATATTTGGCTCCAAAACAGTCTTGCTCACTCGTAGTGCTATAGATGCATCTCAGAGATGCATCTGTAGATGCATCTGTTTATGCATCTCAGAGATGCATCTACAGTACTGTAGATGCACTCTGCAACCTACAATCTGCAAAAATCAAACATTTTATGCATGTGACCCTGGACGGGAAGCCGAACGCGCGCAGCATTCTTCCAGTTACTAAACATTTTCTATTTATTGTTTCTTTCCAGTTTTTCACCCATCCAGTAATTGATAATCTTAACAATGACAAGTGGTATGGTGAACTTGGTGAAATGTGGACGCCATCTTATCTCAGCATTGGACGGTGGAAATGGATGTTTCTTGACTTATGGTGTTTGTTTGATTTGGTCCTATTTCCAATTGTTTTCATTGTCCTTTACCTTATCCACCTTGGGAGGGCAAAGTGGAGTAACAGTACAGGTAATTTTTGAACTCCAGATTTCAAACTACTTTAAAACAATCAATAAACGTTGTTAATGGTAAACAGGAACAACCAGTTGTCTGACTTTTTCTTTGGTCTCTCAATAACACTCTCCATAGTAAATAAACAAGGCTTATTCAGGTTGGAGTTTGTTTTACATTAGATTTTTTTTTTCAATACATTTGTACATAAGTAGAGACTGTTTCAGGAAATTGCTTCTGAGAATAATGTCGAAGAACTGAGATATCATTTGAAAGAGAATGCGTTGATGACGCCAAATCTGCAGCAAAACCATGGTTTCTTGTGCATGTATTCTTGACGAGCGAAGATGGCTAGAGGAGATATCGCTTTCTTTGAACTCATTCTTGTTCGGCCATAAGTGCTGGGCTTTGAGGCAAACCTTGACACCCAAGACTGGCAATGAGTTGGGCTCCTTCTTGATGTAGAAGACAAAGAACACGTCACAATAGAGCGCGCCTCACAAACCTATTGTTTTCATTGTTTTCCTCGTTCTTTTGTCCTTTTATTCTCTATTGCTTTGCGTCAGCTGGGTCCTCTGCAGCAAGTAAGAGCCGCGAGTTGGTAAACATGGGGTTATTTTGTAGCAAACCAAGCTGTTGTTAGGCATTCCTGCGATACTGGTCGTGTGGTTAGACAAACTTAAAGATTTTTGTTTTTCATCGCAGAACGATGTAAAATCGACCTTTATGGTAAGTTTCTATTTCTTATTTTTACCCAAAGTTAAAACGGCTTTGAGAGTCGTTTCGATTACAATTTATAGTAAAATTGCCATGTTAAATAAAAAACTTATTGCGTACATTTATAACATAAAAGACACCTAGACATAAAAGACACCTAGATAAAGTCTGTCACGTTTGAACTTCTTAACCCCACGAATTTTCACCTGAAGACATATGGTTCTCGAGCTTTTGCTGTTTCCGCTCCTGAACTCTGGAACAGTCTACCTGTTTCTATCCGCTCATGTGACAATCTAAGTTCTTTTAAATCTAAACTCAAAACTCATCTTTTTAAGAAAACTTATTATTCTTGGCGATTTTTACCTTCTATTACTTTCTTAAATGCACATTTTTAATTATTAAGATTAGTACAGATCATTTTGGCGAATTGTACAGCGCCTAGAGCAGGCATGGATAGGCGCTATATAAATATTTATTTATTTATTTATTTATTTATTTATTTATTTATTTATTAACTTCAGACAGATTACTTTTGTCAGCATGTTGACATTTGTGAACATAGCTAGGTAAACCCTACCTAACACTATCCTATGCCAAAGAAGATTTTCCGCTGCGCCAGTCAACGACTAAGCTTAGTTTGAAAAGGTGTTTGACCAAATAGATATCGTTTGTAGCGGAATTATCGCTGATTCATTGTGCTTTATGATTATCCATCCGTCCTTGGCTTCATAGGACTCATAAGGCCTTGCGCGTTGTAATAAGAATTCAGTCGCGCCTTTTTTTGTGTGTTCGTATTTTATTTCCACAGAGACGTATCGAGAATATTTCACTACACCTTACTTCCTATTTATCCGTGACACGTTGAGTTATCTGGCCTTACTTGGACTCCATTTGTCCATTTGTCTCAGTCCAACAAGCGTTGAATTCAGCGAACAAGAGTGGGCTATCCTGATCTTCTTCGTGGGCCGAATGGTGATGGAAATTAAGCAATTCTGCGTAATAAAGGTGCAAGTGGGACAAGGAAGTAAAGATAAAATTAAAATCTTTGACTTGAAAGACGCCAACCAGGAAGAGATTGACGACTTGCTCACAGAGCTAGATGAACTCCATCATCAAAGTGAGAAGCAAAAGGATAACAAAGTTGAAGTCAAGCGTGTAAAGAAGTGTGCTTCTCCTTGTAAGAACGTAGCGATTATTGCTTTAAAGAAATTGAAGAAGTTTACCAGGTAAATGGTATTCACTTTGAATAACTGCGAGAGGTAGAACAGTTTCCGATAGCCCTATGTTTAAGTCAAATGCTGCTAACAAATTAACACAAAGTAAGTTGATTACATCTAAATGTTCTATATTATTGTGATACGTTTTCTAAAAGCCATTCACTGACCTAATTATTTGGCCCAATACAAAACACCCCCGATGAGAGCCATAAGTTGTAATAAGAAGCAAGCAAGGTTAAATAAGCTCCGTTTGTAATTGGTTTTCAGAAAAAAGAATGATGAAAAGCCAATAGATGTCTGGGCTTAGGGGGTTATAAACCATAATTTTCCTCATGATTTAGTTTTGAATGTATTTCCGATAATCATTACCTCAGTCCTTAATTAACACTAACGGAATAATCGTTTGTAACTATGTGTAGTAGGGTCTTTTCGGTTAACTCTGCAGTTAGACTTGACATATTGCATCTACTAAATCTTTCTCACCTTCTCACATCAGAGATACCTGGAACTGTTTGGACCTTATCACTATGTTCGTCTACACCTGCACGTTTCTGCTGAGAATGGTCACGTGGTCTTCATCCAAATCAGTGGTAAACAATCGATCCCTTGTCATAGCTGGCTACTTGTATGGCCTCAATACTATGATCCTCACTTTCAGAGTATTTGGTCAGGTGATGGAGACAGTAAAAGGGCTTGGAACCATTCAAATCGCCTTGTTCAGTATCATCAGAGACATTGCAACGATATTTTGGCAGTTTGTCGCGATTGTCATCGCCTTCTCGTTCGCAATCACGAAAATGTACATGTCGGAGAAGTCGTTTATCACAGAAAAATATGATGGTATCCCGTAAGTGTATTTTTTTATGTTAGGTATGTAAAAGGAGATCATTTCTTTAACGTCATACCAGAAGCAAGACTGGCAGGTAATAGCAAGCGAATGCAAAAGATTGGTTAAAAATTGGTAAATGGCACTCAAAGTGTTAACTGTGTAGACTACTGACATTTTACATTTCTACGGCTTAACATCAATTAGCATTTACTTCTATTGTAAGAAGTCGGGTTTTGACCTGAGTTCAAGTTAAAACAGCTAAGACTTGTAAGAAGTTTAGAACCTGACTTCTTACAGGTTTTAGCTGTTCAATTATATGAAGCTTTTCCTTGTCACGTGGTGCTGAGGCAAAGTTGGAAAGCAACCGTATAGGTAAAAGCAACTGACAGGCGGGTAGGTGAAAGAGCCCTGAAAATGTTAGAAGCGACTTAAGAACAAAAGCGATATATTTTATCACTGCCTGGCAAATTGACTAGCTATAACAGAGAACATGAATTTGTGATTTACTGATTCAAGTACTTCCTTTTTTTTAGGGTGTGCAGTACGTCTGGACCAACCTGGTAAGTCAGGGAGAGGTGTGAGGTGGTCACAGTGGAGTGAAGTCGGGTCTTACAGGGCTCCGACTGAAATTGGAAGTTTTCGTATTTAAAATGAATTTTTTTTTTTTTGAAAAATGCTAAAAAAAAAAGACACTTTTGCCTTTAACATCTTTATAAATTCAGACCTAAGAAAATTGTAAGTAATGACATATAATATAAGTTTGAGTCATGTAAGTGTTGCTATGATTAAATAAATGTGTTGTTTTTTTTTTTTTTTTTTTTTTGTTTTTTTTTTTAAAACTTGGTAAGTCAGGCAATAATTGCTCTTCTATCCTCGTTTACCTCCACTTTTTTACACTGATTATAGTCACAAAAGTGAGTTCACCTTCTGTCTTTTGGTGTCTCCTCTCAGCTGGTGGACCGTGGTAAAACACCTCTGCTGGTCGTTGCTTGGAATAGCGGAACTGGAGACGCTTGAATCAGTTGACAGTGCGACGGTGACGCTTGCTCACTTGTTGTATGGTATTTTCCTGGTCGTGGGTGTCATTCTTCTTGTTAACATGATGATAGCTCTTTTATCCAACACTTACCAGCGTGTGGAAGTAAGAAACTTTCAGTTCCTGCTTTGCTTCAATGCTTATTGTGGAGTTAGCATGGGACAGTGATTTGTAGCGCTTACAAGACCTCCACCGGGATCAACTCCTTGATGACGCTTTATAAATAACCAGCTGGTGTTCCTTCAGATTTATAGCCATGTTATGTTTGTTTGTTGCATTCGTTTCGTCAGTGTTAGTGGCGTGCCTATAAATAGCCTGCTCGCAGGTCTAAACTAGTGATTAACATGATTGATTCCAGTTAACTATATCAAGATAACAGAGGGCCAATTAGTGTCTGAAAGTACTCTTAAAGGTAGTTCAGGTCACCAATAGCGGCAGACTTCGAATACAGCTCTTAAAAATTACGGAACTCAAAGTCCCTGGACATGACACTGAGTCGAACGTTATTCAGGTTTCCAATTTGGTTTAAAGCAGTTGTATTGTTGTTTGGTTCTTTCTTGTTCAATTCAGTCAGATGAAATGTGATTTATTTTAGATTTTTTAATGTATTTCATTTACTGAGTTTGTAAGATTTATTTGAAAAAACAGTGATCTGTGAAAATATCGAAGTTTGTCAACTGTCTTGAGCTTACACTGTAGTACTTGCTGGCTATTTTAAGGACAATTCTTTAATGGAATGGAAGTTCAAGAAAGCCATCACAATCCAGACGTACAGCTCGTATGATCCAATACCTGTGCCACTAAACCTTGTGTCCAGTCTTGTTATGGGGGTTTGGTGGTTGTGGAAGAAATGTAGAAGGTGCTGCAAAGGACATCCAGACATCCCGACTTCTGCTGTACGGCACGTAAGTTTTTAGCGTGCCTGGCGATTCTGACTTGTATATCTTATAGATTGAAATGATCACAGCATTTCTATCTCTTAAAATATAAGCTGCTCTGACCATTTATCTGCGTATTCTGCAAGGGTCTTTTTTCTTGATGCTTTTCTGTTCTTTTTTTACAGAAAGTAAATTGATCGTGTCAATTTCTTGAAACGTAGAATTCTAGGTCTAGGTCCTCTTTACCAATGTGCTTTTAGGGTAATTTCTTACCGTAGTTCTTATCGACGAAGAAGAGGGATGCGTGTTAGAGACCTACTATTGTCGCTTTTCTCATTTCTTCCAGACTAAAGAGCTGGATGAAGTTATTGAAAAGCTTCAAACTAGTTATTTTGCAGCTTATGGCTTTTCGTTTCCTCAAACAGGTAGGTACAACGAGGAGATAACACCTAGTTTTTGCTGTTAATGACGATTATATTTTAGATGTGGATGGAGTTTTATCTGTGTTGGACAGCTCTTTTTTCATTTTTTGTTAATGTGGTCCTTAATGTAGTGGCCCAAAGACATAGTGTCAATTAAATTTTACAGAAGAAATACAAGCAGAAGAACGTGACAAAACCGACATCTGCTTTAAACAATTACAAATGTCCTCTCGTCTTTTCAAATATACCTAAATAAAATGAACTGCGTTGTGTGAAATGAATTATATCTAGCCACAGAAAGTTTTCTCTTTTGTTTGTTTTTTATAGAGGAAGGGAAGATGGACCAGTTGTTTTTGGAAGCTGAGGGTAATCGTCGAATTGCCAATCAAACTGCGCAGAGAGCATTCCTGGCTCGCCAAGATGTTCTAGCGACAGGCCAAAAGGTAGCATCGGGTTTTGCTTAATGTCAAAGCAGACTACATTGTACTAGAAACATGTTTTTCCTGTTTGGTAACTTTTTTTTGTTTACATCATTACAGGCGTGGCATAGCATGGGTGTAAAGGTGAGGGACTGCCTTCTCCTGTACGAGGGAGTCAAAAGTTGTGAGGTTTGTGAGACTTCTCCACAATCAACAGCATCACTATTGCATCATGGTGCCAGATACGTTTTTCCGTTCTCCAAGGACTTCCCACACTTTGAGGTAGGAATGAAAATACTTTTTGTGTGTTTTGTTCGGTGTTTGTTTGATTTTCTCACTGAGTACTCTCGTTTAACTTGGCTTGTGTCTTGTGGCTTCCTTACCACCTTAGGTTCTAGTCCTAGAAACTGGTAGAAACAGGTTTCTCGAAGTCGGCGTGGTGCGAAAGGGATACGATTTTCATTTGAGACCTGGATGCTATACTGGTAGCGTGGCCTATCACGCGGATGGAAATATTGTCGATGGCGGAAATGAAGACTTAACAACACGCAGATTAATTGAAGGTACGGTAAAATTTTCCACGTAGCGAAATAGAGGAATCCATCCATCTTCTGTTAAGTACCTATATACAGCTTCACTCCTTAGCATTTTCGTTGCGCCAACAATCAAACGTAGTCGACTAAATTGTGTCAATCAATATCTGAGATTGTCAATGAGCCCAGCCAACCATAGGTATTCGGTTATATCACATTTAGTTGGTTCCATTTATTATGTATCCATGGGTCAATCTCAGTGGAAAATCTAAAATAGCATACTACAAATCAGTGATCAATAAATGGGGCATAAAAATATAACACCAGTAAAGATGATAATTTGGTTACTTGTCCATTGTTGTCGTTGTTGAGAGTTTCTTGCTCTCTGTTCTCTTCCTTTAGTTCCTGTGGTGAATCGAGGTGATCTGATTGGTTGCATTCTTAAGTTCGAAATGGAATCTAACGGCAAGGTACCAGTTGTATTTTGTTTGAATGGAGACCAGGTGACAGATAAAGAGTTGCTGATAGAGTGTGACAAAACAACAAAACAACTTTACCCTTACGTAGGGATGGGTCAACACGGAGTTCAAGTGTTAGCCAAGGTAAGGATTTCAGGGTAAAATGTGATGTGTATTCGTTGAAAAATACGCGAATGACCCTTCTCACAGTAGACTTCTCAAGGCGTATTTATAACGAGTCCGTGGAATTGCTTGTCAGTAGAGATTTGTCGATAACCAGGCTGAAGCGAGTTTGTGATGCCTAATAAACCCTCTTATGTACTTTACATTTTAACACAAGATACCAAAAATAATGACAGCGTTGGTCACTTGGTTCACACCAAAAAGAATCAGGAGAATTCAAAATGAAGCTACAATAGAATCAACTAGAAATGTTTTTCGAATGCTAGCCAACCGGGTCAGGAGTTCCTTGCTTGCTTTCTGCATTGGTTGTTTATTCTTTGAAAAGAAGCTTTTAGGGACCACCTTTTCTCAGCTTAATCTAAATTTACGAAACCATTTTGTCCAATTTACCGGGTTTCTATCTTTCTTAGGAGGGTTGGCTATTGAAGTGATCATGTGCACTCGACATCCTATCGTATTATTTTGTAGAAAGCAGTTCATACAGAGGCAAAAAGTCTTGCGAAACCTAGACAAGAGACTCATTTGAAGCAGTTACAAAAACACTCACAATGTTGCGTTCCATTTTCCCGTTATTTTATTAGATGACTTCAGCTGGCAGTGAAGGGGTGGAGATTCTTGGTCAGATGGACGTCGTATCGAGTAACGCTAAGAGCAAGCAGTCATACGCTGCAGCAAGCGATGGCAAGATGGCGGTCATCCACCGTGATCTAAAAGACTCAACAGTGCAATTTCGAAGACTGAGAGATAATATCCTAGCCAATTTTAGGGAATTTGAAGATTTGTTTAATGATACTCAAACAGAATTCACAAGGCTGGCAGGTTTAGATGTTAAAAAAGAAGGCGAAGACGTCCTGCGTAAGGTAGATAGGGAAAGGTGTAGACAAACGCTCGCATGCGCTAACCTGGTAAAGAAGATAAAGGAAGACTTAGATGTGCTTAGAGAAATGACAAAGGACAATTTGAAACTGATAACCAAAGCAATTACAGAGGCAAGGCAAATGCATGAAGAACAATAAGGAATTTTAAGTACATACCGTGTTAAGAAGGCAAAGGCACCTTTTGATAGAGTCCTCATGCTTTCTTATATGTCTGTGGAGTGTTGCAAATGAGTACTAGTTACTTGCTGATAACCAGGCAAAAACATTTTTTCTCTGTCCTACTAAAAACATGACCGCATCGCAAATTAGTCCTAGTTATTAATCATTTTTTCACATTTCACTTGTCAGTCTTTTAAGAATTCAAGACGAATGACTTATGAAAACAGACCATAAAATAAAATTAGTGACTAAACTAATCAATCAATAAGCCAGTACTGTGGGTCTTTGACTTCAGTGACCATTTCTCGCGAAGCTGTTTTGATTTGAGTCTGTGTTTGCACACTACGGCCAGAAGAGCAACACCGACTAAAGGAAGAAGCTGCACTGTATGGAGCAAAAATGGCCAGAATCGACGAAGGCATTAGGAAGGCAGTGATTTACTTTTTGTATGTACGTATACTTTATGTTCACTTTGTTTTCTGTTCACTAAATTGACTTAAACGTGCGCTATGATTTTTATGTCCAATTCTTTTGCAATCTGTTTTTATAAAGGAAGCCGGTTTTCATTACTGTGTTTGTTACCGTTATATTTTGTTTCGCTCTCTGTTGAAAATTGGTGTAAGCTGGTGTGACCAGGTTAGATTCGGTGTTGTTATGTAAACTACAGACAAAATGCAATTTGATAACAAACAAATTTACTACGTAAAGCAAAAAAGGGTGAAAGTAACAAGGACTTGAGGTCAACTAAGACTTGACTTGAAAATTGCTTGCTTCAGAACAACTGCTGGTGCGAAGGCTTGTGTGTAACTGACTTAAACTAGCTTGCTACTGGCAATTTCTTGATGCGCTAACACTATGTCATATCCTCAGTATCCTGTGAACCAAAGCATAAACATGCATTGGGCTTAACCTCCCGGGGGGGGGGGTACTTTGGGAATTTCTGGGTGGGGATGTGCCGCTGGGACGCTGGAACCCTTAGCCTATACCAGAGCTAGCTCAGCTGAATTTTGCTAACCTATACTAGAGTAAACTCCCAAAAGCATCCCATCTATCACACTGTTGAGGCTGATTTGCGTAAATTTAAACTTGCCGATTTAATTTTTTATATTTTTGAGTGGCAATCCCTGGTTTCCTTACTCTAGATAAAATCTTCAACCAACCAGTCAGTTTTGTGGAAAATGATACCCTATTCTAGACCCAAATGCTCTGACTTATATACCCTATCCTAGAGTAAACTGCTTGAAAACCATACCCTTCACAGCGGCACATACCTATATAGCCCATATATGGCAGCGCCCCCTTCCCCCCCCGCCCCCTGCCCGGGGCTTAACCACAATTTCCCGTGCCAAGATTCCTACATGCTAACAAGCTAAGTGAAACAGGAGTTCTTTATTCATCGAAGGATGCTTTTTTACCGTACAGGAAATGACTAACAGGCTATTTAGAGAGGTAACATAATATAACTTGTGGTTTGAGTAACAGAAATTTGGCATATGAATACGTCGAATACGACCTGTGCATTCTAAAAGCTAGCGCGTACCAAAATACTAGCGAAAAATATCCCACATTCCTAAAAGGAATATCAAGAACTTGGGAGCTAGCTCACACTGGCCTTGTGGTGTTTATATTTTTCCTTTCCACTTTTCGCTTTCTAAAATTGAGGTCACCCTTGCCCCGCTGTTGAAGTGTTGTGGATCAATTTACATCTGATATGTTTCACAATCTACTTAACGGTTCTTTTGTTTTGCATCCGTTAATGTGAAATGAAATCTCCTAACTTGTCGGTCGCATATGACATGTTTGGCACAATTCCACTATTTAGTTTTACAGTTTCCTGTATGGATTATGCTCTGACGCACTCTGGCTCCTTGCTCCTTTACACAGGCAACATTCACAACCATGAAGCAGGTTCTGTTGGTCCTTTACTTTGCTTTAAGCGTTTCTGCACTTTCGAATGCGTTTAATGGTAAGTGGGTTTATTTTTTATTTCAGGCATTTGCTTGATGCATGCAGCTTTTTTTAGTATAATTTGTATTGCCATCACCAAATCGTATAAATGGGAAAAGATAACTAAATGAAAATTTGATAGCGCACACATGTTTGTCATCTTTTTGTCTTAGGAAAAGCATTTTGGCTCCTCAAATTGTAATTTGCTGTAACATTGAGTTTATACGTTTCCGTACTGAAGAATTTTTCACGGTGAAAAGCACTTCTAGAGTGTTCTTTGACGGTTTCAAAGTGTCCGTTGTCCGTCTTAGAGAAATGTCCGTCTTATAGGGAATTCAGTCACAGTAAAATGACGGAAAAGCGGCAGGGACCAGAACCACGTGTCCGTCTTGTAAAGTTGACTGTATATAAAACCAGGATGCTTCTTAGGCTGGCGACTTTGGTATTTCCTTTGGAGGAAGTATATGACAAATTGTGGTTATGCGAACTTCGAAGGTATGCTAATCAAACAAATCGACCTCACTGCTCGAGTTCATCGAACGTATCTAAGGTTTCATGGAGAGATTTCTAGTTTCTATGAGGACGAATGACATAACTGTTTAAGTGAATTTTCCAACGCTGGCGTAAAACTGTGGGTACTAAATATTGATCCAAATGGCGAAATCTTTCTGTCTTCCTTGCTTTGAGCTGGATCTTTGCTGGGTAAAAGCGAGGTACTAGTCGAGGTCTGTCAGCTACTCCTTATAAAGTGGCGTTTTAACTTGCTAGCTGTGTTATAGTTGGTATCGTTCTTTACTTTACAGTTGATGATCGGATTATTGCCCGTTGGACGAACAACCTTTATTACCCTGGGAAAGTGTTATCAATTGGAAATGGCCTGGTGAATATTTCGTTTGACGACAATGACACGATTATTCACAGAGTCTCGGACATTTCAGCGGTAATTCCCGATAAGGTGCCTCATGACGTAGACATTGGACACCACGTGGTAGCAACATGGAAAGGAGGCAACACGTATTTCATTGGTTACGTGTCTGAAAAAGATTCTGGTAACCGTTTCAAAGTCACTTTTGATGACAACGACGAGGACTATTACGCTGTCAGTCAGCTAAGGATTTTTCCTGAGCAGTGGTCATCTCATGAAGGTCAGTACAGACCCATGTCCATGATTCACAGGAACCATTCATACCTACGATAACACAAGGGTATCTGCTAACACTGCATCCATAAATATTCAGTTTAGCCATTTAGCATTCTAAGCTCGTCCAAAGCAAATTCAGCGATAAATATTTTCATTTCCTTTACAAAATCTTTTCCCCAAAATTTGCCTTTTTTAAGTGCCAGTCAAACGCGACCTGAAAAAGTTTGCTTGCCATTTGCAGCGACCAGCATCAACTAATATCCCATTTTTACACTTCCAGTGGGTGCCAGAGTGTTTGCCCGCTGGAAAAACGGTCTATACTATCGCGGATTCGTTACAAGTGCCACCTCCACGACCGTGTTCATCAGTTATGATGATGGAGACACCATCACTTTACACAGGATTGACCCGACAGCCGTAATACTCGATCACCCTGCATGTTACAGTGAGGTCCACGCTGGTCAACGTGTAATTGGTTTCTGGCCTGGAAGAACCAGGTATTACCCTGGTGTGGTGACACACAAGAGGATTTCTGTCAACAATAACTGCCATGAGAAAGCTGTGTACCACGTGTTGTTTGATGACGGAGACAAGCGACTTCAAGACTCGCTCCAGATTCGTCTTATTCCGTGCACTGCAAGTCAAGAATTGAATGTACAAAATATTTGAATCCAGCATGTTTGAAATTCAAGTGAAATAAAGTAATGCTGGCTTCAGATCTTGCTTACTTTCTTTCACTGTAGATTTTGGAAGCACACCTAACTAGTTGTGAACGTTCACGGGATTTAGAGTAATAGATTTATCCAGATCTTTTAGTTTGTATCAAAAGACAATGTTTCAATCGAGTTAGAAATTGTCGGACTTATTGCTGCTTTATATCTGTCTAAGTGACTGACTTCCAAGGGCATCCATGGTAACGAAAAGCGAATAGCACCATGAATATTACGCCCATTCATGTTTAAATGTCTTTGCCATCTTGCATAAGAAAGTAAACTCAAGGTAGAAAGGCGATGAATGTAATCATGCACAGTAGGTTTAGAAGCTCATGATCAGCCACGAAACCAAAGTATACCATGACAATGTTGATTGACCTCGTTACTTTTTGTGTTGAAGAGAAAATCGCGACGTTTTATCACCAGTTTTAGCCAAACTAAATCCAAGTTTTTATTCTATCTATTTTTTTTTTCTTTTTCTTGAAATTAACCTGTAAAGTAGGACGTAGTTTAAAGTAGATTCGCATTTTGAACTTTGAAAGCAATATAATCAGGGCTCTGCAAACGTTATTTATGCGTCAAAAGTAGCATATCTAATGACAATTAGTGAACGTTATTAAATCCCCGCCTCCCTAGGTACCTTTTTTACTTGGAAGTTTGCTTTGACGTGAGCGCTGTTATCAATTATCAGACACCATAGGAGAAGCCAAGAAAGTAGAGAAAACAGGAACTAAGGAGTACATTTTGACAAGAGCCAGAAGAGCACAAGGTGACAACGTTTTAAGCAATGAACGTAACTCATCCGTAACTTGTGTTGTTTAGCACTTAGCCTATTGTTTACAGGAAATTCTGTCTGCAGCCCTGGTACCGAAGTGCAAAAGTCTTTTCACAAGTTTCATTTTGACAATGCTTTTTACCGCATTCAGATTGACAGAAACAAGCAGTGTCTGTGTTGCTGTTTTTATTTTATTTTTTCATGGAAATTCCAAGAATCTGAGGGAAGATGCTACATTGAAAGGTCAAATAATTCAGTTTCTACGACAATTTGTTATTTCATTATTTTTCACTGAGCGCTGACAGGAGATCGGATGTTTCGAACAAAAGATCTGCATGCTATCACCTTGGCATCTGTATTCGGTTTTCGCTTTATCCACCGAAATGATTGCCAACCCCTTGGGCCATCAGTCATCCGCTTTACCATAGATCCTGATGTACGTTTGACTCAGTTTTATAATACAGTTTTGTTTAATACCTCTGGCAGTAATTGCAAACTAAAATCGTGTTAGCATTGCGTAGCAGGAACGATACGCACCATTTTCATTCACGAGCTTGTTATTTTCAGTATATCAGACTACGACTGAGGAAATAAATTTGGTATCGAGGTGAACCGTTACAAGAAGTAGCCCGACTTGACTGCACTTCTCACTTTACGCGAACTCAAAAATTCAATTCTCGACCGACCGTTTTGCGTTTTTCGCTGCCGTCAATCAAATCTTCGTGGGCTTCGCCATTTTCGCCTCACCGAGCCTCGTTAAAGTTGAACTGGCGATGAACGTATGAAGCCCGACGACAGGCGTACAGAGAAACTCAAACTTCAATTTTACACATGCTTATTTTATAGCGGAGTGAAAGTGTCAGGGTGAAGTGAGTGAATCACCAAACAGTCGAGAAAATAAATCCTAACAAGCCGCGGCCAAATTGTTTGGCGCCAAATTTCCACGAGTGTTAATTTTTCCCAATTATTTTTCTGGGGGGTTTTATTGGGAAACGTAGCTATGGCCAAGATGAAGTTAATTTTTCTTTGGTAATAATAAACATCGATAATTTAGTCGTGTTAAATGTTTTTGTCGATGTTGAAAAGAATAGCATTTGATAAGTGTCGTATTCATCGGTCCTTTCGTCACGCACCAAATTTCATAGAAAACAAATAATGTAACGTGCAGTTGGATCTTGGGTCAGCTACTAAAAGCGGCAAAAATAGATAGGACTGGTTAAAACTAAAATTTCAAAAAAAAAAAACGTGAACTAAAAGTGAAATCCTTTAATTACTCCAGTTATATTTTTCGGAATAAATTTTGTGTTAGTACATCGTTTTCTTTCATACCGTGTACAGATGCCCCTAGTGCATTTCAAAATATCTAAACTGGAGGTTAGTTTCTCGGAAACATTAAGAGTGTATTTACTTCAAAATGGTCTAGTACGTTTGTTCCAACGAGAACTCGAAAATTCATTTGCCGTAAGAGATTTTTAAACTTCAGAAGCCTGCAAAGTATTCATTGGCACCCGCAAAGAAAGGCCTTTGTTATCTGAGCTTTAAACTTGAGAGTTTACCTGTAATTGAAAGCACAATTGGAGTGTCAAAAAGTAACGCGATGAAATCGTAACTATGGCTACTTCGTAAGTAAAGATAAGCTGATTTCCTTGAACGTTTTCCCTAATACGTTCTAACAAACATCATGTAAGGTAATTTCATTATATACTCTAATAAAAAGAACCAATTCTCTTTTTTTTTATTTTTTATTCTTTTTATTGGGGACGGTCAAGAGGGCACGAAACCAATGCTATAAGTTGTTTACTGTTTTTTTTTTTTTTTCTGTCTCTCATGTATAGCTTATTAGTTAAATAATCTGGGCTTCCCATGAATAACAACTACGTTTACTCCACTTTTGAAAAACACAAAGCGTTAACCTGGAAGGAAATTCGCCAGTTTAACGCCTGATCGGCGCTGTAGGAAGACAAAATTAAATAAGAAAAAGTAATTTCATAATATGTTTGTAATAACCGATAAACGTATTCGCATTTTCATTATTCATTTATCAATTAATTCATTTATTAATTCATTCATTCACATCCACACTTGATAACTTGGTCAAAACATCTGGATATCGTTGATTCTGAACAATGAATTGACGTCAGGCACTCATGCGCAGCTGTCCTCATCAATCTTCCTCGCTTGACCTGGCAACTTCTCAACACTATCTGAGATATTTATGACACACGAAAGGTACCTGAAAATACCTTTTAGCTTACAAACCTGCATATTTCCATACGAAAAATAATACCTTTTCATCTTTGGATGAATTTCTATGGGCGCTTTTCATTCAGCTCAGAACACTCCCTATGGACACTTTAGATCCACTGATTACAGGGAGCGCAGATTTCATTCGTGCTATTTGATGAACTTTAAGGCTGACTCGTTTGTAGGGATCCTTTTCTTATTTTTACCGGGTCAATGGGAAATTACAGCAAAAGTTTATTGCTGTGTAGTTTATGGCTAAAATGCTTCACGCACGAGCTGTCTACTTTAATTTTAAACACTTGAATGCTAACTAGTTTTTCACATATTTCCTTTCGTTTTCCACACGTCTACCGCTACTCCCGTTTTACAAGCCTTGCATTATTATTTCATTGGTTATTTTATTCCAATACAAAAACTTGATACACCTTTGGTTCTAACAAAGTGAACTTTGATACAATAGGGAAAATATGAGTTGCATTATTCAAATGTTTAATGGTCATTATTATCTTAATTGTCACTAGCATAATACTGTATGCTCAATAATTATAAACAATACTAAGACTAAACGCACAAACATTTTCCAACTTTCGGTTGTCATACTGACCCTCCCTCTCCCTCTGTTTCCCTTACACCTGGTTATGACTCCTTGTTATGTGTAGACAGCAACATGGTACACGGGATCAGCAGAAACTGCATGCATAATCAGTGATATATATAGAATTCAGGGTCAGTCAACGGTGCCACGGATTTCTGACATACGTATAGCGACTGTTTAAGATGTTTCGTTGAACTCTTAACCCAGAGAACATAATCAATCTGTTTTTAATAGTCCATCTTACCAACCTGGTGCTATCAAGACAATTCCCACTGATTTTTATAATAAAAAAACAGATTTTCATTCAGCAATGGTACTGGGTGGTGCTGCGTAATATTGTTATGACAGATTACTTTCGAATTTTAAAGTTCTGGCTCAGCATGCTACTGATAAAGTTTATCCACCAAACATGTCTTAAATTCTTTGTTCTTTGTCAACAAGGGTTCCCTCCCCGGAGAGCAAACCTGGCTTTGTTTATTTCTCCGACTTTATTCAGAGAAGTTCAACTCTCTTCGTTGTTCATCTGCCAGCCAGGGATCTAGTGGACAACGAGAATCGAGGTAATGCGAACAATAATTCTATTATAATAATCAGTTCTTAAAAGTACCTACAGCTCCATTGCTAAGAAAGCTTAATCTTGGTAGCAAACAGAAGGAAGGTTCACGTTGTAAATTAGCGTGCTTACACAAGAACATTTATTAAGTAGTTTTGATCACTTATATTCTGGCTAAACAGGGAACCATTAGGCGAGTTCACAACACGATTTGTCGCCTTAGCCATTTTTTTGCACGCACAACATTCAAGGCCAGACACATAAGCTAGCCCTTATATCGTTTTGTTTTTCATTTTGAATACAAATTGAGGTTCAGTGAGCTTCTGAGGTACGTAAGCGGATAATTCAAAGAAAGCGAGACTTTTTAATATCGCCGTGGCTTCATGGAGTTTCGGTTTTCAAACGTGGCTTTGATAAGGTGACACTCTTGGAAAAATTGCGATCTATAAACTGTACCATGAGCTGCTGCTAGAACATGTTGGTACATGCTCGTGAGACTTAGTGAAATTCTACACATTTGTCACTGGCCAGGCAAACGCTGAAAGCCGGTAAAGAAATTATGATTTACTTACTGTATTCTATCATCCCTTGTTAGCTAGGAGACTGATCAACTGAAAATTACCACATTATCGAGTTTAGAATAAGAAATACGTCAGTAAGACTCATTATTTAAATTTTAGATCACAAAAGAAAATGAATACGTCAGTGTCCAAGCGCCTTTACTGAACTGTTTTTAAGCTCAAGTCGCCAAAGACATCTTTTAACTCAATCTTGCGACGGCTTTCTTGATCACACATAATCAACCTCGATTCATTGTATTATATTCTGACAGAAGTAGTGTGTTTATACCATTGTTGACCTCCTTTATGTGAGGTGACTAGTGATTTTAATATTCAAGTAAAAAAAAATTAGCTTAGTAAAATTCACGCTCATTGTAATTCCCATGGAAAAGCATCGATTATTGCGAATTGTTTGAGTTGATATTTTCAGTTTGTTTTGACAGAAACGCTATATTATCTTTATATTTACGGCGCGTAAATGGAAAGATCGATAGATTCTATTATGGTGATTGTTTTCAAGTTCGTCATAAGTACATTTCGGTGGAAACTTCGCAAGTGTTTAAAACAGCATAGACCAACTGCTGTCACAGTTTTGTAAACTAAAGCATTTACAATGCACTTCCCCCGCTGGTTACTTCCAAGACTCTGCAAAACAATTCAGAATCCACTGGCTTGGCAAAATACGGCAGACACGAAAACTCAATTAGAAAGTTTAACTACAGACACTAGTCAACCATCGACTGATCATTCGTTCACCTGCCTTCAAATTGGCAGCACTTGAAAGGCAATTCAACAAAAGAAAACACTGAAAGGCTGCTTTGTTTGGCGAGATCTTTGTCGAGT